CTGCCGCGGCGGCCACTGGGGCGTCCAGCTGCGTCAGGGTTTGCTCTGCTGCCGGCACCGTGCGCATGTGGCAGTTCACATCTGCCGGCACGACCGTGCGGAGGAGGCAGAAGGCCTGGTGCCTGCCCAGCCCTGCCGGCGCCAGTTGCTGTAGGCGGTCGCAGGCGCGTCGGCGCCGATCCAGTAGCCTCTGCCATACCTGGTCCGCCGCCACCATCATGCCCGGGGCGCCCGCGTCGAGGGGCACGCGGAAGACCTCTGGCTGCCGGGCCCGGGCCACCGGGAGCCGCGCCCGCGTGGGCGGCGTCTCGAATGTTGGCTCAGGCGCGCCCTCGGACTTCCAGTAGGTGGTCTTCGACGCGTTCAGCCGGAGTCCCGCCTCGGCGAAAGCCGGCGTCGCCGCTCGCACGGTATCCGGGAAAGCGGCTGGGCGCGCCGCCACATCGACGTCGTCCATGTAGGCGGTGAGCTGCCTGGAGACCCCGCCCGCCTGCAGGTTACCGTCTAGCGCGCGCACCGGGGCGTTGATCCCCAGCGCGAAGAGCAAGGCTGAGAGTGCACCGCCTTGTGGTACCCCGCATCGGACCTGCACCGGGACGTGGGCGCCATCGTCCGTCACCAGCAGGTGCTCCGAATCGGCGGCCAGCAGGCGGCGCACAACCGGCGCCCACACGGGCACCGTCGTGTCGAGGGCGCGCCCCAAGTAGTGCCTGTCCAGCTCGTTGAAGGCGTTGGAAAGGTCCAGGCTGAGCAGGCCCCAGTCTGGGTTGGCCTGCAGGGCAGCCGCTGTCAAGTGCACCACGGTCTCTGCCCCGCCAGGCGCGCCTACCCCATGTTGGAAGGGCGCCGTGTGCGCCCGGATTGTAGGTCCGAGGAGGTTCGCCAGTGCCTTCTGCAGCAGAGCCAGCAAGGTGTTTTGGACTACCACTGCCCGCACCCCGCCTCCAGTCTTCTGCAGCGGGATCAACCGCCCGCGCGCCAAGGCTCGTTGTGCTCCGTGGGGCGCCCGCCCTTCGGCCAGCAACATCGCCAGGGCACAGACCTTGTCCGCCCCTCCGGCGACCTCCAGGAGGGCCCTCCAGTGCTCGTAGCGTGAGCCGCCGAGGCAAGCGGCCACCCTGCGGGGCGTGTGGGCGAGGGCCTTGGCCACTGCTCCTTTCAAGGCACCCGCCAACAGTTCCGGCAGCGGCTCAGGAGCAGGGGCGGGTAGTGCCTGATGGCCCTCCGTGGGGAAGAGAGCTTGGACCCTCCTCGGTACCTCTGGCCCGTGCGCCAACGGCTCCGCTTGGAGGACCCTGGCGGACGCCCGCTTGAGCTCCCCCGCTTCCATGAGCAATCGGATCCGGTTGGCCGTCGTCTCCAGGTCCTCCGCCGCGCCAACTGGGTCCCCTCCGTCCGCGGAAGGCCTGCGTAGCCACTCGTCGTGAAGGGTTCCCAAAGCCCCTTGCCTCGCCAAGTCGATCCTTTCCGCGAGGGTCTGGCGGAGGAGCCGCGCCTTCTTACCGCCGTCGCGCAACTCCGGCTTCCACAGAATAAATCCGTCGAATGCCACAAGGGCTTTCCAGGCCCGCTCCATCTTTCCGTCATCCCCGCCCGCAGTCGCATCCAGAATGTTAGTGACAAGGCGGCCTTAACCGAGGCGAATGAATGCAGCATCGGCCTGGGGATCTCCGAAAGGGTGGACACTGGCACCGTCAGCTCCGCCCACGGAACTTTGTCGAAGTAAGCTGTGCCCTGGACCGTCCCTGCGTCCACCTCCATGCCAGGATTGTGCTCTCCCTGCTCTCCCTGCCCTGGCTCCTCCCCGCCCTCTCGGCCGACGGCTTCCCGCATCTGCTGCTCAAGGTCTGCCGGCAGCTCGGTGACCCCACGCACCTCGCCCCAGCTGCACTCAGGGTGTCTGCACAAGGAGTTCACGTGCCTCAGCCGGGCTCTGGAATTGTAGGCGGGCTGCAGGCGGAGATCGCCCACGGCAATGCGTTGCTCGCAATGCTCCCTCCCTCCCTCCCTCCCTCCCCCCCTCCCTCCCTCCCTCCCCCCCTCCCTCCCTCCCTCCCCTCCCTCCCTCCCTCCCTCCCTCCTCCCTCCTCCTCCCCTCCCTCCTCCTCCTCCTCCCTCCTCCTCCTCCTCCTCCTCCCTCCTCCTCCTCCTCCTCCTCCTCCTCCTCCTCCTCCTCCTCCTCCTCCTCCTCCTCCTCCTCCTCCCCCTTCGAAAGGCTTCTGGGAGGCCCCGCTGCCTGCCGAAGAGGTATGCCCCCTCTGACTGCCCCCCTCGGCGCGCCGCGGAGGGAAGAGGTCTCCCGCACCCAGAAGGATGCAGAAGTACACCCAGAAGCCATGGGGGGTGGGCGAGTGCCATGGTCGTGGCCTGAAGTCGTGCGTGTCCCTCTACAGGGGGATTTTGGACGACTAATTGAAAACATAGCCAGACAACCAACAAATCCCCAGAAATACTAACAACATCATCCCCAGATTAGTGTTTGACTATCTTTGAATATTCCTCCTCTAGAGGGACAGGCCCGACTTAATCGTGGCCCTGGTCGTTGCAATAGGTACAGAACGTGGCCCTGGGCGTTGGAACCTGACTGGGGCAGGGAGGAACGAGATTCGCCCAGGGGCCCACATCGAGGCCAAATGCCTTGGGGGCTCTTTGGGCCTCCTCCGGGGCTGCCCTCGGGGACCCCTCGCGGCCTTGGACCAAACTCCTCATTCGATGTTCTGGTCGCCCTCCTCGCCCTGTGACAGGCCCGGGTGGCGCCGGGGGGGGGGGGCGACCTCTGCGTGCAGAGGGGCGGCCACACCTCCGGGCGCCGCGAAAGACTGCACGCACGCCGCGCCAGGCTTTGCCACCCGTCTGGGCCCCCGAAGGCCTGCGCCTCGGGCCCCGGGGGCCGTCCGACGACGACCCGCGGCGGCGGGAGCTCCCGAGGGCACGCGCCGCGAGCAGGAGCCGCGAGGTCGGAGGCCCAAGCCCTGGCGCGACGAGAGGATCGCGGACTCGCCTGGGCATCGCCCAGCAGCCTGGCCGAACGCCCAGGGCCACCCGAGTCGTGGTGTCGCACCCGGGGAGTCCTTGGAGCACACACGAGGTGTGCAGGACAGGGCTGAACCTGAACGGTGTTGTTCGTTTCCGTTTTGTGTTCGTTGTCCCTGGTTGTGTCTTCAATCCGCCTTTACCGCAACACGAAGTCGAAACGAACACGGCCCACGAAATCGCCCAAACACCGTTCAGGTCCGCCCCTGCTGCAGGACGGCAACTCCAGCACGCGCGGCTGCACCGCAACTGGCCAGGCCACCGCGAGAAGCGCCGTATACGGCTCCGCACCAGCGTCGGCGAGCCTGTGAGCACGCCTGGGCGGCGCAAAAGCCCGGGCGGCACGAGAGGCATGGGGGAGAAGGGCGGCCGGACGGGCTCCAGGGCTCACCGTGCGCTGCCAAGGCCGTTCGTTCGAAGAGTGTGCAGGCTGGCCGTCTATCTTACGAGGTGGCCAATAAACATTCTGAATGCTTCACGCCAGATGAATGAATGGGGCAAGCTCGTGCGAGTTGTCCACGCCAGATGCAGTGGGTGACCTCCTGCTGCGGATGTCCCTGCAAGCTTTGTAAACTGTTGAAGATGCCGATGCATTTCACCCGAACGGCCACTCCCGAATCGACGATGGGCGGCCACGGTCGACCAGCCCACCGATGTCGGCAACCGTGCCGTGAACGTGAGACAAGAGGCTGCTGAAACATGCGTACAGCTTCTCCTGGACGACGGCGAAAACGACGACGACGAGGACGACGACAGAGGTCGGAGGGAAGAAAGAGGCGAGGGGAAATGGCCACGAGGATGGGGGAGGACGACGACGACGACCTCCGAAGCCTCCAGGCGCCCTCGGAGGGAGGCCTCGGCAGGCCCCCAGACGCCGCAGAGAGGGGCGTTGCCAGGACGTCGGGCCTCGATGCTCTCGAGGAGAACGCGCACTCGCGACGCCCTGCGCTCTTCCGACTTGCGAGAGGCATGGCTCTTCTTAGGCCGGGTGTGACCTCACTGGGTCCCATCGATGGCCCGTGGTCTTCCGTGTGGCCCCCCGCGCGGTCTGCCGTATGGCCTCCCGCGGGAGCGCCCGTATGGTCGCCCGCAGGGTCACCCGTGTATGGTCTCCCGTACGGTCTCCTCGCAGTGCTCTCTGGAGGACTCTGTGGTTACGCAACCCTTCCCTCCTGCCGTACTCTCCCAAATAGCCACTTCGATGCTCCAGTGAACTGGTGAGGGTCTTCTACCGCTAGGGGAGGAGTTGGATCGTGGCGCCGGAATTCTTGGCTCTGGGTCAGAAGTCTGCATCAGGACCCGTTCAAGGGTGCGTCCTGGCTCAAGCCGTGGCTACGATTAGGTCGGGCCTATCCCCCTACAGGGGGATTTTGGGCGAAAATTGACCATACGCCCAACAAAAAGACACCCCAAATGCTTAAAAATAATCCAGAAATAGTCCCCAGAGTACTTTGTTGACTATTCTTGAATATTCCTCCTGAAGAGGGACAGGCCCGACTTAAGGCTACGAGGGCGCTGCATGAGGCCCTAAAACGCAAGAAAATCTCGATCCTCGGCTCGAAGGCTCAGGATCCGAGGGCTGAACCTAAACGGTGTTTTTCGTTTGCGTGTTTTTTTCGTTTTCCCTCGCTTTTGTTTTCAATCCGCCGTTACAGCAAAACGAAGTCGAAACGATAACGGCCCACGAAATCGCGAAAAACAACGTTTAGGTCCAGCCCTGCAGGGTCCTGTGTGGCCCCGCGCGCGCCCACGTCGGGGTAGGAGGTGCAGGCAGCGTGGGAACACAACAAGCGGCCGCCAGCGACGACGACGACGCCGACGACGACGCCAGCGACGACGCCGACGACGACGACGCCGACGACGACGCCGACGACGACGACGAGGACGAGGACGAGGACGGACAACGACGGCGATGACGACAACGACATGACGCGCCTCGGTCTGAGGGTTCGGAGGCGGAGGCTTTTCTACCGCATGGGCCCCTGTCTTCGGGCACCCCTACGTAGAGGGAGGGCGGCCGACGCCCGCGTCCCTCTCGCCTCTGCGGCTGGGCCGCGGGGCCACCTGCTTGAAATGCCGTCTGTCACCCTCCCCTCGTCGGGGGGAGAAGGAAGAGCGGATGTCGTGGGCGGAGCCCTTCTCGGCATCCACGGCCGAGCGGGCCTGGCCCCTGGGTCGCGCCCCCTCGGATACGGGGCGTTGTTGTCGCGGATGCCCCGCCCAGAACGTGTCCGTGCGACCGCACTTCCACGGGATCGCGCCCCAGAATCTAGATCGCGCGGGCGTGGATGTGGATACGTTCGCCCCACGTGAAGATGGGGGGTGGGCGCACAAAACCACTCGCACCGTGACTGGTACATACCTTGCATTCGGTGCCCGTTCAGCAAACGCACATGCGAAGTAAATCGAACAAGGCACGGCTGTGCAAAGCACGCACCGTGCCGCTTTTAACAAACGCAAGGTGGGTGGTCGCGGTGCTCCCGAGGGTGATCGGAGTGAACGCGCAGGATGGAGTGGGAGGGAGGGGGGTGAAGAGGGGGAGGGAGCATGGGGGCGCTGGCGAGAGAGCGGTGGAGCACGGGAGGGGCTCGAAGTGTACACCAGGTCGTCCGGTCGGCCAGGGGCTCGGTGCAGAGTGGCCCAGCTCCCCAACCTGCGGGTCGCTGGAGCACGGGCACCGAATCCTGCCGCCGAGCCCGCCGGCGGCTCCAGCCAGACGGCGTGGTGCACGCGTCGAGCCCCTCTGAGAGGGGCGGCGAGGCCTGGGAGGACCGGCGGCGGAGGAGGGCCCGCGCCGCGAGCGCAGGGACCCCGCGCGGCGCCCCTGGACGCCGCGCGCCCCGGGGGGCCCGTCGCCGAGACCGCGAGGCCGGCGCTTCCGGGCGCCCCCCCCCGCGTGGGGGCGAGGGCTCATCGGAGGATGCCCCGCGACCGCAGGAAGGGCTCCTGTGGGCCCAGCGGTCGCCCAGAGGCAGGGCAGGACAGGGCCGAGACACCTAGGAGGAAGAGGAGGCCGGGGCAGAGAAGGGAAGATCAGCAGGGAGGGGGCCAGATGAGCAAGGAGGGCAGTCCATTTCCCAGATGTGCACTGCCAAGAAAATGCCGTGTGCATCAGTCAAGCACGCACACCCCCCGAGCACTGGGCGCGGCCGCGGCGATCGGAGAAGAGGGGCGACATCACAACCACCACCACTGGGGAGGAAGCACCTCCAGCGAGGGGGGTCCGCGCTGCCTCCCCCGAGCTGGGGATGGGGGGACGCCTCGAGCGACGCGGGGCCTCGCCACCAGGAGGACCACCCTGCCCTCCCTGGCGCCTCGCGCTGGTGGCTCTGGGAGTCGCCTCTCCATCTCCCTGCCACGAGCAGGCCCTTGCCGTCGCTTGGACGTCCACTTCCCGTGCACTGATCGGTTCCGTGCGTTTCTTGTTGTTTGCTCGATGGTGCAGGATGGTCCTCGAAGGTCTTCGCCGAGAAAAAATGCACGCGTCCAAGCGATGCCAAAAGTGCTGGGGCGCGGGCCACCTCCGGGCCGCTCCCGGGGCGCCGCGGGATGCCCTCGGAGCGCTTCGCTCGATTTCCCCGCTGCGGCGGGCCAACCGACGGCCACGGTGGGCCCAGGATATTTGGACGCCCGAAATGGGTACGGCAGGTTCGTGTCGTGTCGACCCCGGCGTTGGTTTTTGACACCGCAGGGATCGTTCCACCTTGAACGATCGGCCGCTGCCGCAACGTCCGATCGTTCAACATCGATCGATTCTGGGTCGCCGGCGGCGTTCAACCTTGAACGTCCGCGCTGGGGTCGCCGCTGGTCGACACGACGCAGACCTACCGTACAGAAAAAAAGGGTACAATGCCCACAAACACATGTGGTCCCGAACCAACCGCGGTCGCTGTGGGGCAGGCGGCCTTCTGCCTCGAGTGGGCACAGGCCGCGGCGGCGCGGACAACGAGTCCTGTTTCAAAATGAGCAGGAACTGCTGCTGGGCATTGTGCCCATCCTTTCCGTGCCCATGTCGTTCGTGCCGACAGGAGCAGAGGAGCAGACCTCCGGAACCGAGAGGACCACGGGCATCTGCGGCCCTCGTGGCTGTTGCCGTCGCCCTTCGAAGGGTCTGCTCACTCCTTCCTGGGGGCCAGCTGGCCCTCGGGGTGGCTGCTGGCCGCGGTCCTGCGTCGGGGCGCGCCCGAGGAAGGTCTCCAGGTGTTCCGAGATGCTGCCGACGCCGCCGGGCGCCAGGATGCGCTTGCGGTAGGCCATGCCGTGCTCCTTGGAGAACGGGTCCTTCTCGAAGCGCGAGGCGAACATGTCCGCGGAGAGCACCTCAGCCCAGAGGTAGCCGTAGTAAGCGGCGGAGTACTGGTTCATCAGGTGCCCGAAGTTTCGAAGCATGTTGCAGTCCGAAGGATTATCCATCAACGACACCTCGGGACGCAGGCGGTCCACCAAAGCCTGCAAGCCCTCCGCGTCAGCCGGCGGGCTCTCGCCGTGAATCCGCCACCTTGTCAACGGCATGCTGGGGCGGCTCAGAATGCTGGTCTGTTGTCAAACCGGGTTTCTTTAGTGTGATAAGCCGACCCCCCCCGCTCGCCGCACGTGGGGTCAGAAAATCGCCCTCCCTGAATTGGCTATGTGACGCGCATCGCGCATTTCGGCCTCCAGACGGCTCCAGGAGATCCGACGACCAGTCCAAAACGGCCAAAAGACGCACCCAGATCGCCCAAATGCTGCCCATCGATGTCCCTAATTCTACGAGATCTCCCAAAAAGCCAAAAGAGGTCTGCAGGAAGGCCCTAGGAGGCGAACAAGAACGTTGGACATGTGGCTGGCTTCCGAAAAGCTGTTCGGCCTATGATCGCCTGTCAGAAAGCGCCCGGAAACATCCGAAACGGCTTAAGATTACCCAACGAGCGCCCCGAGACACTCCCACGAGCGCACGTTTCGGCTCCCAGGCGGCTCCAACATGGTCAAAATGAACGCATGCAAACCGCCCCCCGCACCCCCGCATGAGGAACTTTAGACCACCTAGGCCGCGCGCGCGCCCCACCCCCCCTGCGGCAGCTAGCGATTGCCTCGCTTACCGGGTGCCTACACTTACGCACACTCGCCATCATTACAAAACGCTGACATGTCAAATGCATTGTTGTGGGGGCCGGGGTCGGTTTCCAGCTGTTCAAAAAGACAGTCTTCAAACTGCTGCAGGAGGCCGCACGCCGCACGACCACCCGCCGAGCGAACCGCGAAGACCCTCCCAAGATGCCCTAAGAGGCCTCCACTACCGAAAAGAAGCATGGGTTGGCATGGGCTGGCATCATGAGCTGGCACACTACCGAAAAGAAGCCTCGTAGCTTCTACCTCAGTACACAGGACTGATCCACTGACGGATCTTATGTATCCCCCATTAATTGGCATCAAACTCATGCGAAGAAGCATGCTCTCCTCCAAACGAGGCCTCCAGCGAGGCCCTCAGAAGCAACAACATGTGAAACACCTTACAGACATAGTGATTCGTCTGTCGATGCCCTTCGGCTTCAGACCGCCTCGGGAAGCTCAAGAGCACAAAGATAGTCACAAGAGCGCACGGTTCGGCTTCCAGATGGCTTGAAAGCTGCGAAACACCACCCAAAACGACTGCAAGACGCCCCAAGGCAGTCCAACGATGGCTCAACGGGCCCTCACAGTCTCCGAGATCTCCCCCCCAAACAGCTTCCAGACAACGCCCGAAGAGGCCTCCAGCGAGAAGCTCAGAGAAGAAACATGCTTAAAACACGTAAGGTGGATATATATATATATATATATATATATATACTAGAACCACGCGCGCGCTTCGCGCGCGCTTAGGTTCTAGCTAGGAGGCGAGCTTGAGTCAACGAAAGTCGCAGGGAAGGGGGCAGGGGGAAGAAGGCCAGAGAGCGCTGAAGGATACAAATACTGGAACCCTCTTGTGATTTTGTGGGGGGCCTCGTCCGGCCGCTCGCTGGGAGTTTGACGTAGCTTCTCGGGAGCCTCTGAACCTGTCGGGGGCCTCCTGGAAGCAGGTTCGAAGCATTTTGGGGGCCGATTTGGGGCTTCTCGGGGCCTCCTTTGGGCCTCTTGGGGGTCTCCTGGGGCCTCTTGAGGGGCCTCCTTGGGGCCTCCTGGCGGCCTCTTGGGGCGGAAGGCTCGAGCTTGCGGTTCGTGGTCCCCCTCTGGGCCCCCTCTTGGGCCCGTCTTGGGGCCCTCTTGGGCCATCTTGGGCGCCTCTTGGGCCGTCTTGGGGCCCTCTTGGGCTGTCCTGGGGCCCTCTTGGAAGCTTCTTGGGCCGTCTTGGGGCGGTCTTGGAGGCCTCTTGGGCCGTCTTGGACGCGGTGAAAGCCCAAGATGCGAACATGCGAAAATATACGTTTTCCCATAGGAATGGCACGATTTTTGTTTCTTGGACCTCTCTTGGGGTGCCTCTCGGAACGTCTTGGGCTGATTTTGGAAGCCTTTTGGCGCCTCTGGGCGGCGTTTTGGCGCCTCCTGGGATATGTTGGGCCGGAAGCTCGGAATTCGAGGTTGGCTTTCTCCGTCTGGGACCCCTCTCGAAGTCGTCTTGGGGTTCTCTTGGGCCGTCTTGGGGCCGTCCTGAGCCACTCGTGCGCAGCCTTGGAGCGCTCCCGGAGGCCTCCTAGGCCGTCTTGGAGGCCTCTTGGGCCGTCTTGGACGCGGTGAAAGCCCAAGATGCGAACATGCGAAAAATATACGTTTTCCCATAGGAATGGCACGATTTTTGTTTCTTGGACCTCTCTTGGGGTGCCTCTCGGAACGTCTTGGGGTGCTTTTGAGAGCCTTTTGGCGCCTCTTGGCGGCATTTTGGCGCCTCCTGGAGCCTCTTGGGCCGGAAGCTCGGAATTCGAGGTTGGCTTTCTCCGTCTGGGACCCCTCTCGAACTCGTCTTGGGGCTCTCTTCGGCCGTCTTGGGGCCGTCCTGGGCCACTCGTGCGCAGCCTTGGAGCGCTCCCGGAGGCCTCGTAGACCGTCTTGGGCGCCTCTTGGGCCGTCTTGGACGCGGTGAAAGTCCAAGAGGCGAACATGCGAAAAATATACGTTTTCCCATAGGAATGGCACGATTTTTGCTTCTTGGGCCTCTCTTGGGCTGCCTCTCGGAGAGTCTTGGAGGCTTCTGGGACCTTCTTGGTGTCATGACAGGCCTCTTGGAAGGCATCTGGAGATCGGAGCGCGTTCCGAAGCCGCCTGCGAACGATCTTGGACGGCGTCCGGCGGTCCGACGAGCCTCCGGGCCCCCCGGGGACCACATTTGTGGTCGAGGTCCCGGCCCAGGGCCCCCTGACCCGGTGCGCCGTTATATGTATATCTAATCTGCGTGTGTGTGTGTGTGTGTGTGTGTGTGTGTGTGTGTGTGTGTGTGTGTGTGTGGTGTGTGTGTGTGTGTGTGTGTCTCCGAGGCTAGACGGATCCAGACCGCTTCGAATCAGGTTCAGAGAGCCCCTTGATGCCGCCGAAACAGCACAAATCTGCTTCAAGAGAGCCCCCAGATGGCCCTCCCTGAAAACTGCCCGTGAATCTTCGAGCTCTGAAATAGCCCCAAAGCCCACCCAGACGTCCCTCAGATGGCGTAATCGAAGCTGTTTGGGAGAGCTTGACCGACCCATTGCGCCCAAGACAGCCTCGATATTTCCGACGGACCCCAACCAGCCCCACAGGGACTCCCAACAGGCACCCAAGAGAGCACCCAAATTCCCCGAGAGGATCGGAAGAAGTCCTCAACATGCATTCACGATGGAGGAGGCGGAGGGAGGAACAGGAGAAGGAACGAAGAAGGGAACATGAAAACAACGCTGCAGACAAGGACGGATGCGCACTCAAGACCTTCTCCAATTCAGACAGAGCGCTAAACTGGTATGGGTCTTTAACTCAGCCGCATCTTCATCTTCTAGGACCACTGCGACGAGACTGTGCGATTCGAGACCCGCGTTAGTTCAGTATCCAGCCTGAACTTTCGCAGGTCGTCAACTCCACCTCCCCGACCTCCCTCCATCGCCCTTCCTCAGCCCCTCCAGCCCTCAACCATCCACCTCTCCTCGTTCTCGTCCTCCTGGCCGGCTGGGAACGAGATCGAGCATTGGGCCCGTGTGTGTTCAGACCGCCCGCTGAACTGGGGTGGGTTCTCAACTCAGTTTCCTTCCCACTGCGCTGCTGTGCCCACGGATCGTCCAGCGGCCCCCCTCAGGTCCTCAAGAGAGCCCAAGGGGGGCCCCTATAAACCACTAGTGAGCTGCCCTGAGGACGCCAGGATACCTTTAAGCTGGAGCAGCGTGGAGGGCGAGAGGAGAAACAAGCATGAGACATGCTGAAGGGGGAGAAGTCGTCTGCGTACAAGGTGGGGGTTCACAGCCCGCACCTTTTCAAACACAGCCCTCCACTGGAGGGGGTCTTGAAATCAGCCTCTCTCCTGCTGCGCTTTTCTGCGCTGGCGCGGTGGCGGAATGTTTGCCGCAGGCCGCTGGATCGTGAGGTCGAGCAGCCCCAGGTAGAGCTGCCGCAGCATCATCAGACCCTCGTTCACGTTCTTGGCCGCGATCAACTTCTCGATCTGGTCCTGCGGGAGCGGCTCTCCCGTCTCGACGTGCCTGGACAGTCTCTTGAGGACGTCCTTATCGTAGCACCAGTTCTCCAGCATCTGCGACGGCGCCTCCACGAAGTCCCGCGGGCACTTCGCGAGGGTCGTGCCGTTGCCCGGGCCCTCCGCGCAGAGCCTTAAGTCGGGCCTGTCCTCCCACAGGGGATTTTGGGTGAAAGACGAAAAGTAATAAAAGAATGCCCCCAAATGGTCAAGCAATACTAGAAAATCGTCCCCTGACTATTTTTTGCTATTTCTGAATATTCCCCCTGTAGAGGGACAGGCCCGACTGAAGCAGAGCCCGTGCATGATGTGGCCGAACTCATGGAAAAAAGTGACCACGTCGTCATGCCGGAGCAGGGCAGGCTTCCCGTCCGCCGACGGGGCAGGCAGGTTCGTCAGCATGCAGTCGACAGGGGTCTGCCCGCCGTCCTCAGCTCGCCTCCGCTTGAGGATGTGGAAGATGGCCGCGTGCCCGTACTTCCCGTCCCGCGGGTGGAGGTCCAGGTAGAAGTGGCCCTGGCGCGCTCCGGTGGCGGTGTCGTGCACGACAAACAGGCGCACCTCGGGGTGCCAGGTGTCGAACTGCCTGAGCTCGGTGAACTTGAGGCCCAGCAGTTCCTGGTATATCGCCAGCGTGCCCTCCACCACGACGGGGCAGGGGAAATACTTCCGAATAGCCTCGTGGTCCTGAAGGCAACAAGTTACCGATACCGCCGCCTCTCACTTGCCTCCATCGGGGCTTATTCAGCCGAGGCGACGACGGAAGAGTAACGGTATCGATATCTGAGCACCGTTTAACATATCCCTATCTCCATTAGCGTGACCTGGGCCCTACTGGCCGATGTACCCCCCTAGGTCAGGATATGGGGCGTTCCCTTTGATTTTCGAGGGGCCCATGCCCACTGAGCAGGGTTGAGATACCACTGCCCAGTGGGTATGGCGGGAAAGAGAATCCACTGCCCAGTGGGGATGGGGATACGTAGGTGAAACGATGCTGATATCTGTCCCTCCTATGGAAAAAAACAATTCTCGTGTTGGGAGGAAGGGGTTGGGAAGATATAGGACACGACTGTGTAATGACCACCTTCGACATACGCGATAATAGGGATGATCTGATCGTTCCCCCCAGTCCCATTCTCCCACCACAGGTAGGCGGCGTGCACAAGGGGGTACGGGGGAGGGGGGGAAGTTGCTTCTCAGAACGAGGCTGCTTCTTAGAAGGCGCCGACATCTACAGACAAGGCCCGCGCCTTCTGAGAAGCAAGGTTCCTTCTCAGAAGCCTTCCCCCCCCCTACCCCCCCCCCTGCGCGTGGCCAACCGATTATGGCCGTTCTGACTCTGCGGTCCACGCCGTACTCCCGCTTGAGCAGCAGGGAGTTGTAGAAGCCGGTGTCCCAGGCCTCCAGCCGCACGGCGCCCTCCCCCCCAGCGGGCAGCTCCCCGCGCTCAGCGAGGTGCGCGGCCTTCAGCAGCCGCAGGCGCTCCTTGTCCGCCGAAGCGCCCGGCGCTGCCTTGTCCTTGATGCCGCCCAGGAAGCTGTGCACCCTCTCCAGGCGTTGCTTGGTAACGAGGACAGGAGAGGAGGGTACAGCGAGGGGGAGGGCGAGAACGGGAAGGACAAGGAGAGGGAGGACGAGGGGGAGGGCGTGGAGGGGAGCACGAGGAGGAGGGCGAGGAGGGAGAGCGAGGAGGAAGAGGAGGGGGAGGGGGAGGGGGAGGAGGAGGAGGAGGAGGAGGAGGAGGAGGAGGAGGAGGAGGAGAAGGAGGAGGGCGAGAAGGGGAGGGACGAGGAGGACGAATATTGCCAGCCGGGAGCTTTGGATTAAGGGGGGTGCAGTATTACAGTCGAAACGTGTATAAGGACGGGTGGTAAGGACGCGAGACCCTTGAGGGCCGAAATTGTACTTGTTGGGCGGCGGGAGACCAGCGAAAACGGCAAAGGACGGGCCGCAGAGGCAAGGACACAAGGGTAATTACCTTATGTTGCATCATCGGGGGACCTTGTCTGTCCCGTCGCGGCCATATCCGCGTCGAATCCGCGTCGAATCTATGTCGGACTCATCGGGTCTGTGTCGAATCCGTGCCGAATCCACGCAAAATCGGCGTCAAGTCCGCATCGAGCCCACGTCTGGCACAAGAAAAGACACCGATTTGGGGGACAGGCGAGGTCCCCCGAAGACGCACCGTACGTAAAGCACCCTAGATGAAGGCGCTCGTCCTTCCTGGGCGCGTTGACTAGAAAGGCCCCCTGCGGTCAGGGGGGCGATCCATGGGGGGGGGGTGAAGCAAAGTGCCCCTCCCGTGCACCTTCGAGGCCCACAGGGGGGGGGGGCCTCTCCTGGAGCCCCGTATCCCATCGCCCTCCTCCTCCTCCTCCTTTTCCTCCTCCTCCTCCTCCTTTTCCTCCTCCTCCTCCATTTCCTCCTCCCTCCCTCCCTCCCTTTTCCGTCCTCCTCCCTCCCTCCCTCCCTCCCTCCCTCCCTCCCTCTCGTCCTCCTCGTCCTCCTCGTCCTCCCTCCCTCTGCCTCCCTCGCTGCCCCTCCTGGAGAGCTCCGCCCCCGCCCCCACTGCGAAAAAACACGCCCGACCTCGTCGGGGGAATCCAATGTTAGGTCGGGCATGGCCTCCTCTCCTGCAGACGAGTTTTTGGGCGCAAAGAAGGACATCGTCAAGAAATACTCAAACATACTCAAGCATAGTAGAAAAATCGTCCCCGTACCATTCTTCACTATCCTTGAACCTTCCTCCTGTAGAGAGAGGGACATGCCCGCCTTGAATCTACTGACCCAGGTCGATGCAGACCGAGGTCAGTCAGGCCCTGCAGGATCCTGCACCCAAGCCCGGGTCGATGCACCCCGTGCTCTGCAGAATTCCTGCAAGATCAGGCGCTCCGACTGACTCCCGCTTGCATGGACCCCGTCTCTTGAGCCCCTGACCTCTCGGGCGATCCGGACATCCGGGAGCTCGTGACAAAGTGCGCCCAGGAGGGGTAGCCCAGGATGGCGGCGCTGCGCTTCCGCAGCTGGATGCCCTGTGCCACCAGGTCGAGGTTGTTCCCGTACGCCGTGTCCCTAGCAATGGTGATCTCCCGGCGTGTGGCGGCGCAGGCGCAGTTCTGGAGCACCGGCAGGACGTCGGGGTACTTGAGCGTCAGGACCACCTTCGCGCGGAGCGGAGGCAATACGTGGGAGGCGCGGGAGAGAAGCAAGACAGCAGGAAAGAAGGATGACGAGCGAGGTGCGCAAGGCAAACAAAAGAACAGAGCACTTTGGACGCGGGAAATCATCGGTTTGAGAACACTGCTTTGCACGACCAACCTGCGTCGATCACGATGGCATCCAGAAGGCCTCAATACGGCCGACGGGCCACGCCTCTATGCTGTCCAGGAGGCCCCGCCATCATCTCCAAGACGGGTCCAATAAGCCCCAAGAGCGCCAAACGACGGCACAGCAGCCCAATCAGTGCTCCAAGATGGCCCTAAGGCACAGACAGTAATCCACAAAAAAATGCACGACGGACTCAAGACAACCCCACGAAAGGTTCCCGAGGGCCACTCCCCGACAGGCCCATCAGAGGCTGGAAACTATTCTCTCAAACGCCTCAGCATTATCACAGCATCACTCTTCCTTCGGGGAGACGCGATAAGACTCGGCTACGGGGGGGCTCGGGTTGGCCTCACGGGGCCATCATGGAAATGACGAGACCCAATCTGAAATTTGACGTGAGCTAGCTCCCGCTGCAAGCATCCCACGAAAACCGGGCCGTCAAAATCAAGCACGCGCTCGACAAACAAAAACGTCGGCAAATCCGAGATCCGGCTTACTCGAGTCTTACGTTTCCCCGATTCTTGATCAGGAGACCAATCCAGACGTACAAAGTCCAGAATTTTTCAATATGCGGTCCCTGAAGTCCCGACCCTTTCCCCCGAACCGGTTTCTCCTTCTGAATCGTTGTTTGATAGTCTCGGAGCCCGGCGAGGGCCCCGAGAGGACGAAAACGGCGAAAACCCTCCCGTCCAGATTGTTTCACGAACCGAGCATGTCTGGGAAGCGAACCTTCGTACTCTGTGTCCCTCAATAGCTTTGGGGGTACCTGTAGTCCGGGGGGGGGTACCTATAGTCCGGGGGGGGTACTTGTAGTCCGGGGAGGGGTACCGGTAGTCCGGGGGGGGGGACTTGTAGTCCGGGGGGGTAGCCGGGGGGGGGTTACTGTAGTCCGGGGGGGCGCGCACTGGGGGTACTTGTAGTCCGGGGGGGGGGGGGGGGCATATGGTCATGCCTCAAAGCACGCGTGGTTATGGTCATGCCTCAAAGCACGCGTGGTTCCACGCACGCGGGTGTTTAGTACTTACGCGCGCGGGGCCTCACGCGCATCGTTGCACACGACACGTCCGCGCGCACGCGCGCATGCACGCACAGACCCACACGCACGCGCGCACGCGCGCACGCAACCGCACACACACGCTGGCCCAACGATGGCAAATTTCTTAGCACGCCTAAGAGGAAAAAGTGCGGACGCATCTTGGCGGGCCGCTTTGGCTTCCAGAAACTACGTAGCGAACGCGGGGGGGCTGGTAGTTCCGGGGGCTAGGGGGGTACCTGTAGTCCGGGGGGGGGTACCCAGAGGGACAAAACGACCAAAATCGTAGTAACCGGCTAAAATATTAGAAACTACTAACTTATATTAAAAAAAACGCGCTTCAGATTTAGAAGTTTTCCCTATCCACATATAACATAAGAGTTACTAAAATGAGGCCTTCGGCGGGTAGGAGCAGCAGGCAGGGAGGAGCGGGGATGATGGGGAAGGACGGGGGCGTCCTCGCGATTCTGCCGTTCGGTGAATTTCGGAAGCGATCGAAGGGACGTCTGGGGGCGATCCTGGGGCCGTATCGTGGTGCTGTGGTGCCGTAGTGCTGCACCGCATGCCGTGTCGCGGTGCCGCGGTGTCGAAGTCATGGGCAAGCCAGTCTGCGCGGGGCGTGCCCCTCGTCCTGCCGACCCTCAAGGGCCACGCCCAGGGGCTCCGCCGCCGCGCGCGCCGCGTGGGAGCCCCACGCGGCGCTGGGGCCCGCGCGGCGCGGGGAGCTGCGCGGCGATGGCCCTGACAATCCACGGCGTGAAGGCCGTGGACTGCGCCGCTGGAGTCGCCGAGCGAGAGCTGGACGTGGTGGGCACGGGGTTCCAAGCTGGATGAGTGGGAGGTGGAGGAGGAGGGGGAGGAAGGAGGAGGAGGAGGAGGCCCTCAGTGCGCGAGATCTCCAGGAGATCTCGCGCACTGGAGGTGTCGGCCCGCAGCGCGCTGCTGTTTTTGCTGTGCTGGGTTTTGGCGTGAACGTCCTTATGTTTTCTTGCGCTTGCGTCCGGACAATTTCAGTGTTCTGCAGTTTGGGGCGTTTCCTTTCTGTCATCCCGATTTCCTCTAAAGGGTGAGGTTGGGGTAGGAGGAGGCGTAGGAGGAGGAGGAGGGAGGAGGAGGAGGAGGAGGATGAGGAGAGGAGGAGGAGGAGGAGGAGTGGGGAGGGGAAGGGGGAGGAGGGGGAGGGGGAGGGGGGGAGGAGGAGAAGGAGGAGGAGGAGGAGGCCTCCAGTTGGCTTCTTGGGTCCATGTGAGGGCTCCTAGGCTCTAGGAGGTGCCCGCGATTTGGGAGCCTTTCGGACCCGTCACGGAGCCCCTCGCGGCGCTCTCTGGAGGCCCCAGGACGCCCCAAGAGGGTTTTCTTCTCACCCCCGAGAGGTGGAGATCATGTCGGGGAGCGAGAACATGACGTTCATGGCAGGGGTCATGGGCCTCCACGCCACAGGCTTCGACGTCGGCCAGCGCTCGACGGAGGACATCCTGCAGCTGAAGGGGTGGCACGTTGCCGTCTGGTGACCCGCTGCGCGTGGATGATGATGATGAGGAGGAGGAGGAGAAGGAGGAGGAGAAGGAAGGAGAAGGAGGAGGAGCAGGAGGAGGAGGAATTGGAGGAGGAGGAGGAAGACGTTGAGGATGAGGGGGAGGGAGAGAGGGGCGGGGGAGGTTGAAAGGGGAGGGAGAGCTGGGGGATGGGCTGGGAGTGGAGGGGGGGAGGAGTGGGCGGGGCCAGAGCGCTGGCTCCCGAGGTACGTGCTGAGCCTGAAGAAGAACGGCCTGTTGTGGATTAGCCTCGACACGTGGAGGACCATAGTTTCTGTAGTTTTTCTGTTTCCTGTAATGTGCCTGTCGCTCGCTCGCCCCTTCCGCCTCCCCCTAATGGATCTGTCCCCCCGCTTCCCCCTATCCCCCCACTTACCTTCCCTGTCGCCCCCTCTACCGCCCCGCCATCCACTCTCGCTCCCGTGCTACCGCCAGGACTGGCGACGACCACGACGCGTCCGAGCCCTGGGCAAAGCCGACGCCAGAGCAGGACGCTGCTTGCCAGGGGGGGCGTCAGATCCTCGTCCCCACCTAGTCCACAACTATCGTCATCATGTTCGTTCTCCTTCTCCGCTCATCTCCCTCTTTCTCCATCTCCTCTCATCTCCTGTCACGTTTCTGTTCTGTAGCGTTTATGTCACGTTTCTGTTTTCTGTCACGTTTATGTTGCGTTTGCGTTTCCTGTCACGTGTCTGTGTTCTGCAGCGCGTCTGTCACGCTTATGTTTTCTATCACGCGGCAGCGCCATTTGATGAGGAGGGGGAGGAGGAGGAGGACGGGTGAAGGAAGGGCAGGGAGGCGGGGAGAGGAGAATGAGGGGAGATGAAGAAAGAGGGAGGTGAAGACGAGAGTAGGGAGGAAACGCAAACGCAACAGAAACGCGACAGAAAACAGAAACGTGACAGAAACGCTACAGAAAACAAAAACGCTACAGGAAACGCAAACGCAACAGAAACGCGACAGAAAACAGAAACGCTACATAAAAAACAAACAACATACACATTGAACAAATATCTGGATGTTCAGTCCCTTCCAAAGCTCTGGATGTTCTGGAGTATCTAACCGCGCGAGCTCGGGGAATATAGAAACGCGACAGAAAACAGAAACGTTGCAGAAAACAGAAACGCGACAGAAACGCCACACAAAACAAAAACGTTACAGGAAACGCAAATGCAACAGCAACGCGACAGAAAACAGAAACACTACATAAAAACAAGCAACATAAACATTCTAAAAATATCTGGAAGTTCAGTCCCTTCCAAAACTCCGGATGTTCTGGGGTCTCTAACCGCCCGAGCTCGGGGAAGACAGAAACGCGACAGAAAACGGAAACGCGACAGAAAACAGAAACGTGACAGTATATATTTTCCGTAGTCATTTTGGCTTTCAGGTTGAGTCGGCGCGTAGCAACGATGAGCAAGCGCACTCGCCATGCGAACTGGAAGCCAACGCATGGCGAGGACCCTTCCAAGTTCATAGGGCGCGCGCTTGAGGGCACGCTGGCATACGTCGCGGATCGAGGGCTCTATCCGTCCAGAGACATGAAAAAGGGGGTGGTCGTCAGCTACATTAGCGCTGTCGCGGGGTCGCTCCTCGAGCTCGTGAAGATCGATCCTCGCGGCGGCATCTTCAGCCAGCTGGGCGTGACCTTGACCGTCCGCGCAGTCGTCGCGGAGCAGCCAGCCGTCGGCGGGAAGATCAGGAAGATGGCGCTCGACTTCAACAAGACGTTCGAGAAGACGGCAGAGCTCGCGGGCTACAGCTTCAGGGCAATGTTGTCTCACACTCGGATCAAGTTCGCGCAGTGGAACCTTCTGATCGCTAAGAACGGCCGCCATGCGATGGAGGCGTCCGAGACCTACTCTCACCCGCCCGCCCTCAGGGACATCTACGTGGTCATGGAACGCCTCGCCCCTCGCAGCATCCTCGGCGAGTACGCGGCCGCGCTGGCGGGGCCGGCGCCCGCGCCTGCGCGGGCGCTCTCTGCGTGCCCGCTCCGCGCTTTCAGGGCGCAGCCGACGGTGCCCATCGGCATGGTCGAGCCAGCGCCCGTGGACTTCGATGATGACGCGATGCTCCAGCATCCGCTCGCCCTTGAGGATTCCGACGACGTGGACGTGCTCGGCCCCGAGGACCCGTTGCCGCTGGGGCCTCCCGCATCGACGCCCCCGCGACCGAGCCGAGGCGGCGACGTCGATTCGGCGTTGGGCGTGCTTGCGTTCGAGCCCCCAGAGCCCAGCGCCGCCCTCGACCGCGTGATCTTAGA